TATTAGATAATGCTCCTGGTCATCCTTCAGACTTGGCAGAGTGAATTTTGGGGGACTTGAGCTTCATAAAAGTGAGGTTTTTGCCTCCTAATACCACTCCTCTCCTGCAGCCCTTGGACCAGCAGGTCATTTCAAACTTCAAAAAACCTACACAAAAGCTATGTTTCAAAAGTGCTTTGAAGTGACCTCAGACACTCGATTGACCCTAAGAAATTTTTGGAAAGATCACTTTAGTATCCTCAGTTGCATGAACTTTATAGGTAAGGCTTGGGAGGGAGTGACTAAGAGGACCTTGAACTCTGCTTGGAGGAAATTGTGGCCAGAATGTCTAGAAGAGGGGGATTTTGAAGGGTTTGGGGCTAACCCTGAGAAGCCTATGCCAGTTGTGGAATCTACTGTGGCATTGGGGAAGTCCTTGGGGTTGGAGGTTAGTGGGGAGGATGTGGAAGAGTTGGTGGAGGATGACAATGAAGAACTAACCACTGATGAGCTGCAAGAGCATCTGCAACAACAAGAGGCCACAAATGAGGAAATTGCTTCAGAGGAGGGGAGAGAGAAATTGAGAAAGTTGCCTTCTTCACAGATTTAGGAAATTTGTGCCAAGTGGGTTGATGTGCAAACCTCTATGGATGAAAATCACAGTAGCACAGCTATTGCAAGCCGTGCTGGTGACTATTACAAAGACAATGTTGTGGCCCATTTTAGGCAAATCTTAAAGGAACACGAGGTACAGAGCTCTATGGACAGATTTTTGGTGCGACAGAGGTCCAGTGACTCAAGCTGGTCCTAGTGGCATTAACCCTTTGAGAGTTTTTGAAGTACTAGTACGCCTAAATTCAAGCACCCTCAAATCTAGTGGGAGAAAGCTGGTAGGCCTTCATATGAAAGAATGGATCTATGTGGTCAGTGTGCACAGTCTAAAAAAAATCCTGCAGCACACAGTGCATAATGAGAAAAAAAAACTTTGACCGTTTTTTTTGGAATAAAACAGCGACTTTGCACTGTATTTTCGTATGGTATTTATTGTTGTATTCTAGTTTTCTTGGTCTCATTTTATAGAATGGAAGACATATTACAGAAATTGAGATGATTTTGACTGGTTTTACAATGAAAGGTACCTTGAAATTGAGCTCAAATTAGCAGAAATGTTCGATTTTTACCAAATTTCAAAAGCAAACAAATCGTGCCAATGGTCCAATACACGTCAACTGGTGAGTCTAATATTCTTTCACAAGTGCGCCAATAATATTTATACCATTTTTTACACTAATGCAGTAGTCTGCATAACAGTAAATCTTATATTTTTTGTGAGAATAAAAATTCAAAGTGGAAACCAAAAGAATATAAGAGGGGCCTTGAGACGTGACTAATGGCCAGAGGAAATGTCAGTTTAGTGCCAGGAATGTCTTTCTTGTTTATTCTTAACCCTATTCGGAAATTGGCATCTTTTGAAATTTGTATGAAATTGGCAAAATTGCTAAATTCTGACCACTGTACTGGATAGTTGAATTTCATAAATGGGTGGTTTCTTGCACCCATTCGATAGAAAAAATGGAGTTCTAGCGAAAAATTCATGTTTTTGGTCGACTAGTACAGTGGAATTGGCCGAAAATGGGGCTCAAAGTGGGCAAAATCGCCGATGTGTAAACATCGCCGAGACCGCTAACTTCGCGAGAGCATAATTCCGTAAGTTTTCCATCAAATTTTAAACTTTTGGTGTCCTTATGATCGGGAAAAGATTCTCTATCTTTTCATAAGAGAATTTTTTTTTTTTAAATTTTGCCGACCCTGAGAACGAGTTTCGGAGAGGGCCTGTCGACCCTCAAAGGGTTAAAAAACAAAGATGGGAAGTAACCCCAGAAAAGGACTTGCTACCTCAAGTCCTCATGGAAGGGGATTCCCCTTCCAAAAAATAATAACGTCCAGCATCTTCCCTCCTCCCATCCCATCACTCACCATCAAATCTTCAATAAAGGTACATGTCATTTATTCATTATTACACAATACATGTACAGTGGTCCCTCGTTTATCATCGTTAATCCATTCCTGGAAGTGCGACGATTATCGAAATAGACAATTTTAGAATAAATTTTCCCCATAAGAAATAATGTAAATACAATTAATCCGTTCCTGACACCCAGAAGTATTAAAACAAAAAAATTTTTTACATGAAATATAGATGTAGTACATAAACAATACAATGGGACATGATGAATGAAACATTAACAGCATAACACTTACCTTTATTAGCGATTCTTCTTAGTGTATGGAAGACTGGAGGAGGAGAGAGATTGGATTAGTTACTGTTTGGACGGGGAATCCCCTTAAATCAACACCCAGGTACCAAGTCCTTTTCTGGGGTTACTTCTCTTCTCTGTTTCTTAATGCCACTAGGACCAGCTTGAGAGTCACTGAAGTCCTGTCTCGCAAAAAAAAGTGTCCAGAGAGCTCTGTTTCTGGCGTCTCTTTAAAACTTCCCTAAAATGGGCCAAGACTCTGTCATTGTACAAGTTGCCAATATGGCTTGCAACAACCTTCTCAGGGTGATGTTTCTCCATAAATCTTTCCATCCTACCCCACATTTCAAAAATCTCCTTAATTTCTGAAGAAGGCACCTTCTTCCATCTCTCTTCCTCCTCCTCTGCAGCAAGATTCTGAGCTGCGATCTGTTGCTGTTCCTGCTGAAGCTCTTGCAGCTCCTCAGTGATTAGCTCTTCGTTGTGGTCCTCCACCAACTCTTCCAAACCCTCCAAACTCACATCCAACCCCATGGAACTCCTCAATGCCACAATAGAGTTCACAACTGACATAGGCTCATCATGGTCAGCCACAAACCCTTCAAATTCCCTCTTGTGGACACAATCTGGCCACAATTTCCTCCAAGCAGAGTTCGAAGTCCTGGTAGTCACTCCCTCCCACGCCTTACCTATAACGCTTTCATATTGTTCAATCATGTTTTTCTTAAATTCAATCATATTTCTCACCTTCTTTACCAAAGGCTTGGCACTAGGAGCTTTCTTTGGAGTCATGGTAGCTTATTTAGCACTTGCAAGCACTAAAATGAATGGAATATTATGAAATATTTTGTATAAACAAGTGAGGGGACCGTTGCTCGCTGGTAAACAATGGCACACTGACTGGGAAGGGAGGCCGACGTGGCTCAGAACCGTGAGTACGCATCCAGGACGAACGACGATTAGCGAGTCAACCGACCATTTGTGAGCCAATGTTTGGACGAAAATAACTCGATTTCCGAAAAGGACGACTATCGAAGGACCACTGTAATATACATTATGCATGTCCCCTTCTTTTCATGTGTAGGAAAATGTATATTTTATGTGGTAAATTTTTTTTTTCATACTTTGGGGTGTCAGGAATGGATTAATTTGATTTCCATTATTTCTTATGGGGAAAATTAATTCAACTAACGATAATTTCATCTAATGATGAGCTCTCTGGAACGGATTAATGTCGTTGGTCAAGGGTCTACTGTAATAGTAACAATAACAGTAAGGAGAAACTTCAAAAGGCTGCCAGTAGTTGGCGCCACCATCAGCAAAACACTGGTAACTATTACTAGTACACTTTTTCACCTGTCTAGACTTAAGTACGTAGTCTATTAGTATTAGGTTAAGTCTGCCCGAAATGCCTCGGCATGATAGTGGCTTTCTTTGCTCAAATCATATTATGATATGTAGACACATATTGTAACCTTTGCAAAGAAATAAATATTTTATTTATTTATTTATTTAACCCTTTCAGGGTCCCCAGGTCCTCTCCCAGACTTGTTCTCAGGGTCGCCCAAATTTCAGAAAAAAAAATTATTTTTTCTTATGAAAAGATAGAGAATCTTTTCCCGATCATAATGACACCAAAAGTATGAAATTTGATGGAAAACTTACAGAATTATGCTCTCGTGAAGCTAGCGGTCTCGACGATGTTTACGCATCCAGTGTACTAGTCGACAAAAATCATAACTATTTCTCTAGAACTCCATTTTTTCTATCGAATGAGTACAAGAAACCACCCATTTACTGATTTCAGCTATCCAATACAGTGGTCAGAATTTAGCAATTTTGCCAATTTCACACAAATTTCAAAAGACACCAATTTCCAAATAAGGTCCAGAATAAACAAGAAAGACATTCCTGGCACTAAAACAAGATTTCCTCTGTTCATTAGTCATGTCCCCACGCCCCTCTTACACTCTTTTGCTTTCCACTTTGAATTTTTATTCTCACAAAAAAATAGAAGATTTACTGTTATGCAGACTACTGCATTAGTGTAAAAATGGTATAAATAATACCAGCGCACTTGTGAAAGAATATTAGACTCACCAGTTGATGTGTATTGGACGCTTAAAATGATTTGTTTACTTTTGAACTTTGGTAAAAATCGAACATTTCTACTAATTTGAGCTCAATTTCAAGGTACTTTTCATTGTAAAACCAGTCAAAATCATCTCAATTTCTGTTATATGTCTTCTATTCAAGAAAATGAGACCAGGAAAACTAGAATACAACAATAAATACCATACAAAAATACAGTGCAAAGTCGCTGTTTTAATCCAAAAACACGGTCAATTTTTTTTTTTCATTACGCACTGTGTGCTGCAGGATTTTTTTTATACTGCGCACACTGACCACATAGACCCATTCTTTCATATGTAGGCCTACCAGCTTTCTCTCACTAGATTTGAGGGCACTAGAATTTAGGCATACTAGTACGTCAAAAACCCTGGTTCCTAAGCCGTACTAGTAGGGCCGAAACCCTGAAAGGGTTAAGGAACCTCCCTCGAAGGGGAAGTTCGCATCCTGAAATTTTGTTCGTATCCAGAAGCAAAAAATCGACTAAATGACGGTTCGTATCCTGAAAATTTCGCATGGTGGGGCATTTGTAAGCCGAGGTTCCACTGTAATAAAGAAGAAACTCTAAAACCATGTGGGGGGTAAACAATGCATGGGGAAACTAAAAAATTATTCCCCTAATATTAGACTCACCTGAATAGCTCCAGTTTTAAAGGAAGATAAGGAAAATTCTTGATCCAAGTAGCGGTGAATAATGAGGTTAGCAAATATCCAGTTACGAACTGTGTGCCAGAGACTGGGCCATATGACCCAGGGAACATCCATGAGTTGCAGTGTGGTCTTCTGGGCCTCAGGCTTCCCATCTCTCTCAATACCTCGGCTACCTTCCCTGCTCTAGAAAATATATTGCCTCAAATGAATGGAGGTAAAAGTGTCACAAAATTTATAATTATAGAAAACCCAGAGTTAACAGATTTTGGAATGTGGGATAAAATTTGATGGATCAACTGATTCATAAACAACAGTCTGCTGTTGTCCATTACTATTATGATTAAAACACTATTTCCTGCCCAATGTCTTTATGTATACATACACACCATTTTACAACAAAATAGTCACACTAAAGTTGTCAACAGTCTATTGTTTTGAAACAGTTTCACAGAAAACTCACTCTCTAACTCAAACTCTAACTCTCTCTCTCTCTCTCTCTAACTCTCTCTCTCTCTCTCTCTCTCTCTCTCTCTCTCTCTAACTCTCTCTCTCTCTCTAACTCTCTCTCTAACACTAACTCTCTCTCTACTCTCTCTCTCTCACACACACACACACACACACACACACACAAGTACTAACTGTAAGATAAAGCTCATGGAGCAGGGAGAGGGAGGACCTAGTAGCAGTCAGTGAAGAGGCGGGGCCAGCATCTGAGTCTCGACCCCTGCAACCACAATTAGCTTAGGTGAGTACACACACACACACATGCACACGACTGGACCTTATGTTCACCCTGAGTAGCTCAGACATTGTTGACATCACATATGAGAGGCCCCTCGGAGCTAGTGACCATGTACAGTGGACCCCCGCCTTACGATATTATTACATTCCAGAAGTCTGTTCGGGTGCTGTTACTGACCGAATTTGTTCCCATAAGGAATAATTGTTAATTAGATTAGTCCATTTCAGACCCCCCAAAAATACACATACAAAAGCACTTACAAAAATACACTTACATAATTGGTTGAGTTGGGAGCTGATCGTAAGGCGAGGGTCCACTGTAGTTCTGAGTTCTGATTACATAGTAGAGTTACAGGTGGAGAGGGTAACAGGATTCAAATGGGAAAAGTCAAACTATAAAAGGGGGGACTACACAGGTATGAGGAACTTCCTGCAGGAGGTGTGGTGGGACAGAGAAATGGTAGGAAAGCCAATAAATGAAATGATGGAATATGTACCAACAAAATGCAATGAGGCAGAGGAAAGGTTTGTTCCCAAGGGCAAAAGAAACAATGGGAAGACCAAAGCAAGTCCTTGGTTTACCTGAAGGCACAGGGAGGCAAAAAATAAGTGCATTAGAGAATGGAAGAGGTATAGAAGGCAAAGGACCCAGGAAAACAAGGAGATCAGTCTAAGAGCCAGAAACGAATATGCACAGATAAGGAGGGAGGCCCAGCGACAGTACAAAAATGACATAGCATCGAAAGCCAAGTCTGACCCGAAACTGCTGTTTAGCCACATTAGGAGAAAGATGACAGTCAAAGACCAGGTGATCAGGCTGAGGAAAGTAGGTGGGGAACTCACAAGAAATGATCAAGAGGTGTGCGAGGGGCTCAACATGAGATTTAACCCTTAAACTGTCCAAACGTAGATCTAAGTTTTTTCAACATCTGAAAGTATGTAAAAAAACGTAGATCTTTTTATTTTTTTACATTTGTAAATGTGTAAAAAAAACTTTGATCTACGTTTTTTTTGTTATATTTGAAAATATGTAAAAAAACATAGATCTACTTTTGGAGCACTATGCATATGAATGTAAATCTGTTTGAACAGTTTAAGGGTTAAGGAAGTATTCACAGTGGAGACAGGAAGGAATCTGGGAAGAGAGGACAGAGGGGGACACCAACAGGGAACAGACCAACAAGTGCTGGATGATATGCACACAACTGAGGAAGAGATGAAGAAGCTGCTTAGTGACCTTGATACCTCAAAGGCAATGGGACAGGACAACATCTCCCCGTGGGTCCTCAGGGAGGTAGCAGATATACAGTGGACCCCCGCCTTACGATGGCATTGCGTTATGTTAAATCCGCCATACGATACATTTTAACGCAAAAATTTTGCCTCGCCTCACACTAAAAAACTCGCCTTACGTGATTCGTCCATGACGCGTCCCACATGTGGCCTCAGCGCCAGTGTTTACAAGCCAGCCAGTGCGGTTGCATCTACACATACATTCGGTACATTTCACATTATCCCAGTGTTTTAGTGCTTGTAACTGCAAAATAAATCACCATGGACCCCAAGAAAGCTGCTAGTGCCATCCCTGTGGTAAAAAGGGTGAGAATAGTATGGAACTGAAAAAAGAGATTAAGGAAATGTGTGCAAAGTGGGTTGAACTGCAAACCTTTAAGGATGAAAATCACCCTCACACAGCTATTGCAAGCCATGCTGGTGACTATTACAATGACAATGTTGTGAACCACTTTAGACAAATCATAAAGGAATGAGAGGTACAGAGCTCTATGGACAGATATGTTGTGCGACAGAGGTCCAGTGACTCTCAAGCTGGTCCTAGTGGCATTAAAAGAAGAAGGGAAGTAACCCCGGAAAAGGACTTGATACCTCAAGTCCTAATGGAAGGGGATTCCCCTTCTAAACAATAACAACTTCCACACTCTCCCCTCCTCCCATCCCATCAATCATCACCAGATCTTCAATAAAGGTAAGTAGCATGTACAGTGGTCCCTCATTTTTCGTAGTTCTCGGGAATCATAGATTTCGGAAATCATAGGGATATTTTCGTATAAACATGGGCTCGCTAATCATAGGTTGACTCGCGAATAGTAGTTCGTCCGGGATGCGTACGCACGGTGTGAGCCGGGGTTGCCTCCCTACCCAGCCAGTCTGGCATTGTTTACCAGTGAGCGAAGGTCCCCTCACGTGCTCCTACGAAATATTTCATAATATTCTACTCAGGCATGCGTGAGCGTGTTTGATAGGAGTGAATGGAGACAAATGGTTTTTAATACTTGACGTGCTGTTGGAGTGTGAGCAAAGTAACATTTATGAAGGGATTCAGGGAAACCGGCAGGCCGGACTTGAGTCCTGGAGATGGGAAGTACAGTGCCTGCACTCTGAAGGAGGGGTGTTAATGTTGCAGTTTAAAAACTGTAGTGTAAAGCACCCTTCTGGCAAGACAGTGATGGAGTGAATGATGGTGAAAGTTTTTCTTTTTCGGGCCACCCTGCCTTGGTGGGAATCGGCCGGTGTGATAATAAAAAAAAAAAAAAAAATAATAAAAGTACTAAATAAGCTACCATGGCTCCAAAGAAAGCTCCTAGTGCCAATCCTGTGGTACAGAAGGTGAGAAATACGATTGAATTTAAGAAAAACAATGTTTCACAGGTGCTTGACTGTGACCACAGACACTCACTTGACCCTAAGGGAATTTTGGAGAGAACACTTCAGCATCCTCCATTGCATAACCCTTATAGGTATGGCTTGGGAGGGAGTGACTACCAGGACTTTGAACTCTGCTTGGAGAAAATTGTGGCCAGATTGTGTCGACAAGAGGGATTTTGAAGGGTTTGGGACTGACCCTGTTGAGTCTATGTCTGTTGTTAAATCAATTTTGGCACTGGAAGTTCCATGGGGTTGGATGTGAGTTTGGAGGATGTGGAAGAGTTGGTGGAAGACCACAATGAAGAGCTCACCACTGAGGAGCTGCAAGAGCTTCAGCAGGAACAGCAACAGATCGCAGCTCAGAATCTTGCTGCAGAGGAAGAGGAAGAGAGATGGAAGAAGGTGCCTTCTTCAGAAATTAGAGATTTTTGCTATGTGGGGTAAGATGCAAAGCTTTATGGAGAAACATCACCCTGACAAGTTTGTTGCAAGCCATGTTGGCAACATGTACAGTGACAAAGTCTTGGGCCATTTTAGGGAAGTGTTAAAGAGACGCCAGAAACAGAGCTCTCACCACAGTTATTTTGCGAGACAGGACTCCAGTGACTCTCAAGGTGGTCCTAGTGGCATTAAGAAACAGAGAAGAGAAGCAACCCCAGAAAAGCAATTGGTACCTGAGGTGTTGCTGGAAGGGGAATCCCCTTCCAAACTGTAAACAATCCAATCTCTCTCCTCCTCCAGTCTCCAATAAAGGTAAGTGTTATGCTGTTAATGTTTCATTCATCATTTCCCATTGTACTGTTTATGTACTACATCTATATTTCATGTAAAAATTTTTTTTTTAATACTTCTGGGTGTCAGGAATGGATTAATTATATTTACATTATTTCTTATGGGGAAAATTGATTCGCAAATCGTAGATTTCGATAATAGTAGCAACTCCAGGAATGGATTAACCACGAAAACGAGGGACCACTGTATTCTGTTCTTAGTAGAGTATTAACTGTGCATGTCTTCAGTTTGTGTGTATTAAAAATAATATTTCATGCGGTAAATTTTTTTTTTCATACTTTGGGGTGTCTTGCACAGATTAATTTGATTTCCATTATTTCTTATGGGGAAAATTAATTCGCCTTACGATAATTTCGGCATACGATGAGCTCTCAGGAACAGATTAATATTGTAAGGCGAGGGTCCACTGTACTGTGTGTGCCATTAACCACAATCTTCGACACATCCCTTGAAACTGGGCAACTACATGAGGTATGGAAGAATGCAAATATAGTTCCCATTTTTAAAAAAGGAGACAGAAAAGAGGCACTAAATTACAGACCAGCGTCACTAATGTGTATAGTATGCAAAGTCATGGAGAAGATTATCAGGAGGAGAGTGGTGGAGCACCTGGAACGGAACAAGATTATAAACGACAACCAGCACGCATTCATGGAAGGCAAATCCTGTGTCACAAACCTTCTGGAGTTTTATGACAAAGTTACAGAAGACAGACACGAGAGAGAGGGGTGGGTTGATTGCATTTTCTTGGACTGCAAGAAGGCCTTTGACAAAGTTCCTCACAAGCGACTAGTGCAGAAACTAAAGGATCAGGCGCGTATAACAGGAAGGGCACTGCAATGGATCAGAGAATACCTGACAGGGAGGCAACAAAGAGTCATGGTACAGGATGAGGTATCACAGTGGGCACCTGTGACAAGCGGGGTCCCTCAGGGGTCGGTCCTAGGACCAGTGCTATTTTTGGTATATGTGAACGACATGATGGA